CATACATGTACATGTATGTATGCATGGTACCAGTTTACATGTACATGTATGTATGCATGGTACCAGTTTACATGTACATGTATGTATGCATGGTACCAGTTTACATGTACATGTACATGTATGTATTCATGGTACCACTTTACATGTACATGTATGTATGCATGGTACCAGTTTCTATGTAAATGTATCATGTATACATATACAGTTGTATGTACATGTACATGCACAAGGTCCTGGTATATTATGTCATAATCCATAATCATGTTAAACAAGAAATGGAATGTACATGTACCAGTGAACCTTACATACATATTCAAGTACATTTTGTCGTGTGCCCGGCAGAAGAGCGTTAGCGCTTAGGCCCTTTTGCCGGGAAGCATGATCACTTCAAAAAACTTTTCCCAGCAAAAAGACGAAAGTATGCAACTATTGTATTTTAAAGAAATATGAAGATTTCTTGGCAAAAGGAAAAAAAAAACCCAAGTCCTTTAATAAGTTTGCTTTTTGTAGAGCCCAGGTTGATTTTGTAGTAAATTATATATCTGTTTTTACTAAATAAGGAGAGTATGTTTCTTACGCCCTTTTGCCGGGAACATATTTTCTGCTGTGATCATGCTTCCTGGCGAAAGGGCGTTAGTGCGCTTACGCCCTTCTGGCGGGCACCTGACGATTTGTACGTGTACATACATGTACATGTGTAAAGGCTGGATTTTTTACGTGTACATGTACATGTACATGTAAGTTATACGTGTACATGTACCACAAAGGCCTTTCGTCTGTTTGGAAATGAGGCTGCATCTGAATCTCTTGTCTAGAGCTAGGTCTAGGTCTCCATACCATTAGAAATGTGTGGAGACACGTAGACATTAGACCTAGCTGTAGCTCTGGAAGCCCATTTCGGACACGGCCTGAGTAAGCTGATGCTGCATAATGGTAGAGCTGGTTAAAATGAACCTGTAGACTTGTTAGATAAGGTTTTAGACCTTTGGGAGGTGGTCAATATACATGTGTAGTACAGAGGTTTTACGTGAAATACCGGTATTAGGCCTACGGTGAGATTACTTGTACCGGGTACATGTAAATGTTGATATTGAATATGCACATGTACAATTTTCCCTTTAGATTTAAAGGAAAGGTAGTCCCTTAATGCAGTCCTGTGGTTTTTAACGAAGGGTTAATTCGTGCAATTATGCACATGTATATGTATTGTACGTTACTCTAAATCATCACACTTTGCCCATGCTTTCACAGCCAAATCTTTCATCTCCCCTTGTTATCACCACAGGTATGGTATGGTACCGTACGTGAGATGATGTGATTATTCAAACATTTCCTCTGTGTTTCGACTTGGGCTAAATCTCGCTTCTTGTCTGCCAGTGATGTATTCAGTCCACTTTATCTGAGCCAAGTTGGAGTCCATTTTTGTCCCAAGTCTGGCTCAATTCTGAGCCAAAATTGTTGCGTTTCTGCCAAGTCCGAGTCCAGTAGTGAAATAGCTGTCAAAGCAGATTACCGGTACAGCAAATTAATCATGAAGACAATAGAATGATAGTTGGAACAGTGAGAAGACTGAGCCTGGATGAACTTTTCCCCAGGATACCAACCTAGTAAAGTACAGGGACCGGTATCTAAAAGAGATTTTTCTTCTGATAAAAGTTACATGTAACTCTTGATCAAATGACAGACACTTTAGTTATTTTTTTAAAGATACCTGTAAGTTTAACTTCTGTACATGTATGTTCTCAGGCATGCCCAACGTAATTTTTAAGTGGACTCAATTCAAGTCTGACAGGTTGTTGTAAGTCATCCACTAGCCAAGTCCTGAGCCAAGCTGATTCCACAAGGCTTCGAGTCCTAGAGTAGTCACGAATCCAAGAAAAGTCTGTCGTCCGAACTTTCATCCTGAATCACCGAGAGCTCTAGTAGGCCATTTAAGCCCTCTCGGTGATGTCAAGCTTCTGGGGGATAAATTCCAATTTATGATTTTATATGCATTGTCCCTGTTGTATAAACTGGCATTTGCGAGAAAGAAGAACTTTTTTTCTTCGGTGCACAACATGTAATACAACATGTGATATTGGCTTCTGCTACCATGGTCACATAATCTACCCTCAGTATAAGATTTCCCAGGCAGTTTGGAGATGTCGGGTTCACTTTTCAATTCCTAGTGGACTGACTCCTGTGCCACCCATTGGAAAAATGGTCCCAGCTCCCAAGCGATCAGTTTGGGCATAGAAGGGTAACACGATGATGATTAAATTGACGTTGGACTTCAGTGCACTTGATTGTTGCAACTCTTAGTGTCTCCTCGTTGCAGCGGGACTCCCCGAAAGTAAAGCCGTGTCATTTCTAACTGTGCTACCTGGTAAAGTATCTCGTACTTAAATGATTGCATTTGAAATTTTATTCCCGACTGTTGAGGTAAAGCTCTGAGCTTACCCCCGGTGTCATTGAACTTGGGGGCAGCAGTGGATAAACAGAAGAATATAAAGAAGTGAGAAACATACAGTTTCACATTTAATTTATTCAGGTGTTGTGTAAAAAAAGTAATCAGTGTTTCATATTCATGCAGGGGAAAGGATAATTTCATGTGCTGAAAGAAAATCTCAATAGGCCTTTTGGGAGTTAAATTTGAATAAAATCTGGTACACTGAGTTCTTCAAATTCACGTGAACATAACAATTTGAAATCTCCATACTGGGTTCTTTAAATGCTTGTGAACATAACAATTTGAATTCTCCACACTAAAGACATCGTAGCTATACCTCGTGATTCGGGGCAAGTTTTTGGTTAGTTACATAAGAGACGCCTTGCTGTTTTCAATGGATAAGAAGGGCACAAAGGAGCCAGATTCATTTCAGAGATGGCGGTCACTGTGCAAAAGCTTGCCCCGATCACGAGGTATAGCAACAGTGTCTTTAGTCTGGAGAATTCAAATTGGTATGCGTATGTGCCATCAGATAACTCAGCGTACTAGATTTTATTCAAATTTGCAGTGACTCGCAAAAGTCTTGTTTCACTTGGCTTCGCCTCTGTCATCTAACAAATTTGTTTTCACTAGTTTACTCATTTACGTGCAGCATTCATTAATTTTCTATGTGTACTGTTGAATAAAAAAAAATGGCCATAGGAAGCAGCAGAACATGTACATGTACGTGTAGAAGGAAGGCGCATGTACAGCACATTAACTGATCTTGAACTTGGCATGTGAAGTTATTACAAGTCAACAGTCAAGTTCACAAAAGAAGCAACAAATGTTCCGGTTCAAACTGCATGATCTCATGGCTAACATGTAAGTTTAGTTTCTGAACACCCACTCAACCTACATGTACTTTCACATTTAAACACTGTTATTAATACCAGAATGAAAAGCATGTGACTGACAAGTAAGCAGTGGAGGCAGGTCTCGATATCATTTTTCTTGTTTCATTTTTTCTTCAGTCTTTGCCCTTAGTTCATATGTCGTAAGTTCTTGATACCACCTTTGATGTTGAAACTACCGGTAAGACATTTGAGAGCTTTGGTGCTCTCAAAACTGAGATTATCTCTTCAAGTTCCATTCTGGTCATTTCCTATCGTGGAATGAATTTTATGTTCCTATATTTCACTTGTCAGAGTGTTGGAAATAAGCATAGGAGCAGACTGTGTGAAGTTTATTTCTCCAAAATCTTGTTCCACGATAGCCGAGCCTGCAATTGTCCAGCCAAACATTTCATGTATGCTTGTTGAAGCCGAAAACGTGACAAAATCATCAGAAATAGAAAAAGCTTCTCTGCTGCAGTGTAAATGTAATGTGCTTTTTCATTGCACCAAATTAAAAATTGTCCACAGCTTTAAGTCATATATGGATAATTCTCAGGAAGGCAAGTTGTGCAGGTGGTCAGGTGTTGTCCAGGGTGCTACAGTGTTGTGATTATATTAAAAGCCTTGCTGTCCGGATGCAAATGGGATATTATTGGCAGGTTGGTTTTTTTGTTGTAAACCACTCGGGGAAGTTATTATTTCACCACAAACTGGTCCCAGATGCAATATCACATTGAAGTGGGAAACCACTTAGTGTATGACAACCAGGCGTTGCATGTGACTGGGTCAGGGTACCAGACAGGGTGAACTTCCGTGGATTCTCTAGACCTTCTGTGTCGGTGTGTATACAGATCAGTAGGAACCACCGAAGCATTAGAGCACCATGTCACCTGCTACTGTGTGATAGAAATTGTTTGAACGTGTTTACATCCCCCTTGTGAAACTATTGCCGAAAATCATTGCAGGTTTATATGTCCTCTTCTGTGAAGCACATGTACATGTAGTTAAATACTGTACTTTTATCTGAGTCATTATAACCCCAAGCCTCCTAGTTTCTGTGATGTCCAATCCAATAAAGTCCAGTGCAGTCCAGTCTAGTCCAAGCCAAGCCAGTCTAAATCCAACCCAATGAAATCCCAAAGGTTTGCTTAGATTTTTTTAGGATTGAAAAAGTACCATTTTCCTGCTTATCTTGTATGTACTGTGTACAGGGTTTGTTTCTTGTCAAAAGTTGAAATGTAAAGAATGCACATGTAGTTTTATGTACTTGCCCAAGTTTGGATGTTAGAGGATTCCAAAAACTCCTGGTAAAAATAGTGGGAGTTACTTTGCAGAGTGGAATATACCAAAATGATAAGCACTGTGCATATCAGTGGTTTTGGTAGCCAGTAATTCAGTGGGGAAGCTGTTTACAGCAGGTTTTGAACATTATTTTCTTTGAAGCTGGACTCATGTGATATAAACCTAAATGTTAATTTACTGAAACTAAAAAATAAGTCAGTCTTGCCTTTCTGTTTATACTCTAAGGTTTGGTGCCTGGAGGTGGTGTTCTAGGTAATGCTGAAGAGTGTATCGGTATCTTGCATACAAATTCCTGGAATGAAGACTCTTTAGTGTGTCAGTGTACATGTACATGTATGTTTGCCTACCTCTTACTATGCACTGATCCTGTTTGTCTTTTGTTTTTCCCTTGGCAGTTTCCTGAGCACGATTTCTACGGAGTCTATGACAAGATTCTCCTGTTTAGGCATACCCCAGGTGAATCCTACGTCCTACAGCCAATCACATATTCCAGTGAGATTCCTGATGGCTCATTGGTGGAAGCTGTGTTGTCAGGTAGGCACGTGCTAGTGAAAATTGCCAGTTTCCAACTCTTGGGCTCATCCCTGGCTGTGCTTTCATGTGGGCTTCTTAATCATTTTGAAACTTTGTCAAAGTAAATATACTTTAAAACTTCGGCCCTATGTTTTACATGTACATCTAGGAGATGATATCCTCAGTGCAGAAAATGGACTTACATGTACATTATATTAGCCACATTTCCTTGAGTTCCTGCCAACAAATGAAACCAGAACAAAGCAGTTCTGTGATGGGAGGAAGGTCATTGTGTTTGCCGTCTTCAAATGGTTAAAAATTAGTGTGAAGTCAACATTACCAGTCATTAACAGATTTGTGGAATGAGGTTTAAAAGACAGATGTACCTGGGGGTAGGTTCAGGAGTTCAGTGCAGAAAACGCTGACAAGTGACACCGTTAAATTCAGCTTTCGTGCCAGATGTGATGAACAGAGAATGAGTCAAACAAAATGAAACGAAATTGTTCTGCTGGTGACGAGAACATCTTTAAAGAATTACCGGTACATGTGGTCCAGCTTTTATGTGGGTACTTGTACTCGTATGTGCATCCGGGTTATAAAAGGGAATTTCTCAACACTTCCGGTTTCCAAATTTGATGGGTTCTACTTAAAAAGGCATAATGAGATCTTCCACACAAAGCACTGTAAGGTGTCACATATTTGCTTTTCAGTCCCGGGTTAATGAGTGTTGAAGTTTCACTAAGTTCTAGTTTAGTCAGTTTTTTCATTACTGATCCACAATTTTCTCCCAGGGCTTCCCTGTTGAGTGAGTTCATTTTGGTAGAAGCTGTTGTGTACAACTTTTGTCACATGACATACAAAACAGTTCAGGCAACTCCAAACATACGGTACATGTACTACTTGATGGTGAGATGTGTGTGTGTGTGCGCAGGCGTGGCATACATAGTGTGGACCTCTGCACAAAAGAAGTCAACATAATGTAGGGTGCGATAATGTAGTGTGGACTCGCACACGTCCACACAATGTTTCCCCCTCTCTGAAAAACAGTTTCAGAGGCATTTTGAGGTCAAGGTTATTGGTGGCAAAATGATGAGGAATAGTCCAGGAAATCATCATCAAAAATCCAGCTCGAAGGAGTTATCCTAGTTGGAGAAAAAGGAGCATTTTCCTCAAGTTTCCTTAACCACAGGAGATCAAAGGAAAGTCCACACTTTGCATGTAAAACAGGTATGCGTGTGTGTGGTTGGGACGGGATGGAGAGTTACAATTGGCAAAATCTTTATGAGGATCTGGTGTTTTGTGTTTGTATCAATACCTGTTGTTCCTATCTTTGTTCCAGTGTATGGCCAGTCTTTTGAAGGTAAAAGAAATCTTTTTTTTTTTAATTTACAAAGCCATTTGCGAAAACATTGAACTAAAAAAATAACCACCTCAAAAGAACATTTATTGTAAGCTTTCATTACTCATGCAGCTCAAACAGAGAGAGATTGTGAAAAAGTAAATTTGTAGTTTGGCAGGTTTTTTTACCCTAATCCACAAGATGGAATTGTAATTTCATGAAGTCTTCAAGGTTTAAGCTTGGTTGGGGTTAAAACATATTTCCCGAATGCTCTCAACTCATACACTTGTATATTGCACCAATTATGGAAATTTCTGAAACACTACACCACTTTATTCGTAGCCAAAGATTGATGTGGATTTTTGGACAGCCACTCATGAAAAGCGATGACATTCACTGCTCATTTTTGGCTCAGTCCTGACATGCGCATCACAGTTACATGCGGTCTGCTTGTACACGTAGATGTATCTCACTTATACACGTTTCGCGCACATGTATGCGTGAGCATGTGCAATATGTACATGTACATGTAGGTGAACCATATCACGTGCAACATTGATACAGAAGCCACGCTTTCTGCAACCACCCCCGTGTGGGCATGAGCACATTACTTTTTATATTGTTATTCCTAACCATTTCAGTCATTATACTTGTTCACGTACTTTCATTTTTTTTTGCATTCTGTCAATTACTGTGAAAAGGGTACCCAGAGAAAAATGCAGGACATTTACATACATCTACATGTAGAAAAGCATAGACGCTTGCCAGGCTGTTAAATATCCTGATTTTTATAGCCTATTGAAAAGTTGTAAAAATTGGAATTTTTTTTCTTTATCAGACTTGTTTTTGATTTCTTCAAATTTGTACCGTATCTTTATATGAGGGTCTAAAAATCTTTGGGCCTTAAGTTGAAGCCATAGAGGGATTTCGCATTAGCTCCATCTGCGCATATCCGCATCGAAAGCGAGGCTCTCTGTGTTGAACTTCGTCGAGCGCGCCTGCGGAGTTGACAGTACATGCAGTATCCAGTTCATAAGTGTGGCGCCACTTCAGTTTAAACCATGCCCACTGCACAAGATACACGACCATCGCAGGTACGTTAGCTCGTAGTAAATTGCCGTTATTTTTTCTTTTGATTTTATGTGCCGAGTCATCCTGAAAGACTCTTCCATTAAAAGTTGAAGCCTGGAAAGTCTTAATTTAACATACCTTTATGTATTTTGTGTCTTAACCCTGCTTTCCATCGTCTGATCGTATTAAGAATTGAAGCTAACACATACAGCCTCGTTTTCAAATGCGGAAATGCGCAGATCGAAGCTAAAAGCGTTGTATTGGGATCCCTCTATACTTAGTTATTAAAAACCCATTTTATCTGAGGACACTTTAACGCATCCATTATGGTTTGCATACAAGTGGACACTGATCGATACTTCAGCATCTCCAAGGGTATAAGATCTATCTGTATCATCAACTTAACTAAGCAGTTTATTGAATACGGCCAATTCTTTTTTTCCCCCAAATATCCAAAAGAGGTTTCTCATGATTTCTTTAACATGATAATTTTTTAATTCATGTGTGTTGTTTTTAATTTTTGAGTGACTTAATTTGGGATTTTGATCAGTGATTTAAATAAAACAACCCTAGATAGAAGCTTACTTGGTATTTGAAGTCATTACAGGTCAATAATCAAGAGTGCAAAAGAAACAAACGCTGTTCCAGTTGGAACTGATTAACCAGTACATGTAGTGGCTGATGTAGTTTTAGTTCTGTACACCTACACAATCTACATCTACTTTCACATTTAAACACTGTTATTAATACTGGAAGATAGAGCATGTGACTGGCAAGCGAACAGGGAAGGCAAGGCTCGATATCATTTTCCTCCATGTGTGTGTTTTTTTCCTGGTCTGGATAATGTTTTCATTCCCCCCCTCCCTTTTTATTGGTAGGTCAGACTCTCAGTCATGATGTGTTGAGATCTTGATATCTTCTTAAACTTACACGTAGGCACCTGAGAACTAGGGTGTTCTCAAAAACGATTAAATTCTGCATGTATTTCTCACCATTTCTTGTCATTAAATTGATTACTACAGTTTCACTTGTTCCCATGTATCAGAACATACGGTATATCTTGCACATGTACTAGTACATGCACATGTATGTGTGTGCACATGTAATACGTGTACATGTATATGTACATGACGTGTGTGACTCAGCAGGTGAACCACATCACATGCAACATTTGACACAGAAGCCATGCTCTCTGCAACCCCCCTCATGTGGGCACGAGCACATTTACAGGTCATTATGTTGTTGATTGCATACACCGGCGGTGGCGTTGTTTGATTTTGATGTCTACTTTAAGCTCAAGCGAGGGCCAAGCCAGTGTAACCTGCCCTGATGTGCCTTGTGAGTACCGACCCATACGTGTATTTATGATGTAGGCACAGGCAAAGGTGTGTCATAGGGGGTCATTAAAAACCTGTGCACAGTAGTAACTGCTCACAAAATATGGAGGGCCTGACATTTCAATCCTAGCAGAATCTTTCTCAAAGGCAAAAAATTAGTAGTTACTGCTACCGGTAGGTCGCAGGCAACATGCTTTTTGAAAGCGGTCAAACAACGCTATCGATCACCGAGTTGATTGATAGCGTCGTAGCAATGTAGTTGTGTTTGTCACTGACTCGTCTTGCACATTATGCCACCTGTTTACCTCCTTGCATCATTAGGCAGAATATTAAACTCACCAGTGGGAAAAAAAATATGGAATACGACATGCCGTTTGGTTCTACAAATTCAGCAGAAATATGAACTCACAGGCAACACTCTGCTTGAAAGATTACCTTATTAGATCTGAAGAGAGAGGAAATGGTGGGTGAACGACCTTACATACACGGTGCATATACATTATCCATCATTCTTTGCCTACGTAGCACTTTCAAACTCCATTGTGCATGGAGCAAATTGCCGCATGATTTCTATTTGTTGTATTTTGTGACACATTTGTTCTTGTATGCACTCCAGTGACGGTTTTAATCAGTATTTGAAAACAGGACCTCCAAGTTGCTAAAAGGTAGCCCTTTATATTATGTTCACACTGGCATTTGTTTAAAAAAAAAAATTTGACCAAAATGGCCTGTGAGATGCCCAAAAAACCGCCACCAGGCTAAGACACTGATACCACATTCAAACCAGGTGACTGGGAGATGAAAGGAAGAGTTCTATTTATGAGATCAGAGTTTCAGCATAAATTTTAAAGAACTGGCCGGCCAAAATGGACAACTCGTTAAGCACAATTTCGTTGAAATCTGTCTTAGTGAAGATCAACTTGTCTCACTTTCTGGATTGTTCATTCACCATCAGTATTATTTTGGATAGAAAAATTTTCAATTTTCAACAAAGCCAAGACTGCAAGATCCGGCCTTTAACTTTTGAGATGTAGCCAAGTGCCACAAATACTGATTCACATGAGTCATGTTAACAGTGCCTGTATATTTCTTATCACAACCTCTCACTCTAGGGGTGCACCCACAGAGTAGTATTTGCTTCCACAACAGGTGTTGCACAGAGGCCACTTGTTTCAAGTTCAGTGCACGGCCCCGCCTGGGTAGCCTTCTCGAGGCTTTTGTGTGTTTACAAAACAAATGTTGGGGTATTTTGATGTCATCCGGAGGTGTGTCAAGGCAAGCCTGACATTGAAGCATGTCACCTGTGCCCGGGTACTGGTATACAGAGTTTTCCACGTCCTCCAGTGCAAAGTGGGTTAGAAAAACTCCATTTTGCTGATTCTGCAACTTGTGAAAGTCTCTGCTGACAAAGTATGATACTTTAGATCATATTGAAGTATGGAAAATCATGGATGAGAAGAACTTTCAGACATCAAATGTACTTTATGGCACTTCAGCCTTGTTTTGGAATGATAGATCACATACACGTATGTACACACACATTCATACTTGTATGAGCTGCAGTGTGTGCACTAATGGATACACATAGCTCTAAATCAACTTATGAAAATTCATGGAAAATGCTGAATGACGAGTGTTTGTTTACAGATTTTTAAGAGTCTGACTAGAGTGAGCAAAGTACTAATTTTTGGCTCGTTGGATACTGAAATGAGTTTGAAAAGGTTGGCAACTCTGATAATGGTATTTTGTACATTGTAGCTGGCAGTCAGCTATGTGTACATGTACATAAACATGCTCACTTTATGTTGGTCATGCGTGGAATTTGAATTTGCGTGTGTCATGTTACATTGCGACTCGACTCACTAGGGGTGGCGTGCATAGGGACGGAATGATGCACGTCGCCTGCCCCAACCAGTGCGGTGTATGAACAGCAAGAGGTCCTACATATAGTTATGGACCGATTCAGTAAACGCCGCCCACTACGCACATGGGCACTTTCATGTACATGTGGTCTCTTCCAGTGCCACACTGCATGTTCTCTGCGTGCACATCATACACACAAGCAAGCATGTTGGACTTTCGCTCAAGCATGTCAGAAATAAATCACAACTTTGATTGGTCAGGACACAATGGGGGAGGGCTTAATGGATCGGTAGTTTGTACCAGCACATTACCCAAATACATGTTGTTCACTGTAGGGGGCCTACCTCTCACTTGTTTCAAGTTGAGCATTTATTAGCTGTACAAACCATTACCAATCATGCCAATATTCCTTAACAGGGTGGTACATGGACATATGTTCATGTAACTCTGAGCAAAGATGATTGGGAGTATATGCTTAGAGATCATGCTGTGTACATTGGGGGACAAGGCCAATACAGGACTTGAAATCGATCGGACCTCCCTCGCATGTGCATTTGAAGTCACCTTAATTATCAGTCCACCCACCTGCATGTATTTGCCCGCTTCCCTGTTCATGGCACAGGGATTTCGTCCTTCAGAAATTACGCTGTGTGAAATATCATTCAAGCAGCCGACAAATATTAGCCTTGTGATGAATTGGCCACCTTGGTTGAGGTTAGTCGCCGGTCTGCATGCTCTGTTGCACCAAGCGTCATCTTTTTTCCTTAACAGTGACAGCCTCAGAGTTTGTTGTACATGTAGGCTTATCCCAGAATTAACCAGAAAGCCAAAGGCTGCAGGTGGGTGGAGGCCAAAAATAGGCTAAGTGGGGAAACACCTGTGTGAGAGATAAGTTAATGAGTTTCTGCGGTTAGCAACAAGCTGGTAGATGTAAATTGTGTATTAGATATATGAATCATCAGGAGTTGTACCATGGAGGTGATTCTACCTCCATGGTTGTACACAAAAGTATTTGTTTCAGGTTAATTTATTTACAAAAGTTGAAAAAGAAACTTGTAAACTAAAGTTTACATTTGTGAAATTTGAATGTACATGTATGTATGTACATGTTTTAATGTTGCAGTTGTTACCAGTTCGGTAGATCTGTGGCTGGAAGTGACAGTTAACAAGTACAGTGTTTATTCAGTATGAATGTATATTACATGGACATTACTTTGCTAGAAAACCTGTTTGTATGGGTTTTCATTGTTCTTACTAAAGAGAGATTCTTTAAGTGTAAATTCAGTTGAGATTTTTTGGAGACTTTTCAGCACAATCATTTTTCACAGAAACCACATGAAATGCTGTTGAATTGTATATCGGCCAATCACGTCAAATACATTTTCTTTCAGGAAACTCGATGATTCAGCAATTCATCGTAGTGCCATTGCATTGTGTTGGAAGGAATGATTTGCACTAGTCTGTTGTTATCGAGCCTGTCCATCCCAGGAAACAAAGCGGATATGTTGTGTTTTCCCGGACCTTCTTATCAGTTTGGCTTGCCCTGTTCCCAGTGAAGATATTTCCTATAGGAGAAAATTGTTCCCAAAAGTTCTGCATCTTTTTGTGGAATAAACTTTACAGGACAACGTGTCCGTGTCGCACATTGTTCGGTCATGCAGAATCACTGTCATAACATTGTCAACTATCATGCGTTCAACCAAACTTTAACCAAGTGAAACCAGATCAAACCGAGTACAGAAATTTCATCCTGTTTAGATAGCAACAATGCTGAACAGAGAACTTGCACCTTTTTATAATCGCACACACTGTACACGTGCTACACTGCTCCATTATCTCCACAATGTTCATGTGAATGCCTACATGTACCCGGTAGATATTGCTTGTATTTATGCATTCTTCACTGCTAACCCTCTTTCAGCTGTCAGCCTGTCATATTTATACCAGAAATCCATGATTATTTTAGCCTAATTTGATATGGATTATTGTATGGACAACTTTTAACAGTAAACCATTTTTCTGTTTTAACTTTGAAAAGGAACAAAAACTGATTTTTCACTGCATGCACTTTTACGGCCTTTTTATATACTGCACTCGGATACTAAACTGTTCTTTAGTCATGAGTAAAATACATAAATTGCTTCAAAAGAGGAAATTCATTGCCACTTTTTCATTTCATTGTGACCTTTAAAATTTCAGCAATCTGTACCAACCTTGGAGATACATGTAGATAGCTTTGTCGACATCACATGGATGACCACACCTGAATGATTCTCTCAACAGACTAGATCTACCAGTATGTGCATGGGCTGTCTAAGGACAGTGTAACAATGCTGTGTACCATGTAGCTTTCAAACAGAAGCAAATGCCCTGGAGGTTTGAAATTGCCACAAAAGTCTCGGGCAAGATCTGATAAATTGTCAAAGAATTGCTTACTTTATACCTCCTACACGGCTTCATAATCCTACAGTAGTTAGAGTCCAACTTCATGGCTTTGCCAGCCACAAGCAAAGGATCTCTGGGCACCGCACATATACATGTAAAAGAAGATCCTGCCTTAACAACATAATTTTGAAGCGTGGCAGAAAATTTAGGATTTGCAACGTGCAAGTACCAGTACATGTATGCCCCATGACTTTAAGGCTGGCCGTACATGTACTTAAAAAGTAAAGCAAACTTGACTTCACAAAATGTTTGCAGTGAAATTTGCTTGAGTTGAAATGAGTTGAACGCTGAGAATTCGCAGCGTGGATATCCATGATATGATGGTAGACAGTCAACATGTTTTATTTTTGCTTTGTTTTGTTTTGGTTGTTTTTTTGCTATTAATCAAGAATAGTGATTCGGTGCTCATGCATGTTCATGAGCATGTAAGTTCTGTTAAGCAGGGCTGTGCAATTGGATTCTGTTCAAAACATACAAATGTTTGAGCCTCTTAGAAGTTAATCTACCAATTGCTGGAGAGTCAAGGTTGATGCCCTTGAAATTCAAATGAAGTGCCTTTAGATTAAGTTGGTGACGAGCATTAAAAGCTATCACAGTTGTGGCACCATACTTGTGGTCTGGTGGTTAATGTCCATGCCTATATTTACATGTACATTTAAATGCCCCGTTGACTATTTAGTATTAGGGTGCTGCACATGACTTGCCAAATACGCAGGCTCAAAGAGTTACAAAACATATGTAGGAGTGTTGCGCCAAACATCCTTTTATATGTATTAGACAAGTTTCAATATGTACAGTTTTTCTCTTGCCAAGTACAAATTGATGCTACATGTACAATCACCCTCTCATCACACCGAGCCACCCCAAAGAATGCTCATGGGATCGGAAAACAATATATTAGCAAGCTTTTCCTCTAAGAAAGATCTCTGTGTTATATGTTACTCTCATAGCTACAGCTACTGTGGAGGACAGACAAATCCGGCCCCACACGTTGTATGTGCACTCCTATAAGAGCCCAACATTTTGCGACTTCTGCGGCCAGATGCTGTTCGGCCTTGTCCGGCAGGGTCTTAAGTGTCATGGTAAGATGGGAGGGGGAGTGGTCTAAGTGGGGCCATGAGGGTGGGCGTGGATGCTTTGTGGAGAGCCTTTTGGTCTTTGTTTTGGACAGATCAATCAGAAATGTTTACTTCTCCACAGACATGCTCAAAGCATGTGGGCCACACACGTTAGACCATGGACTACAAATGGCCATAACAACAGTACTCTACAAGTATTGAAACTTCACAGGTGGACTTGAACTTATAATGGGTGTCTTTGTATGGCACACCAACGTTCAAAAAGAGCAGGCAGGGGACAATCAACTTCTTAGCATCTCCCCCATGCTCTCAGGTTGTCTAAACCCATTAACCCGAACCCCTAGGGTGTATGTAAAATCGTATTGAAATTGTAGGATTTGGGAGTGTGAGGCTTAAGGCTTAATGAGGAGGGTGAATGGTTTATGCTTTAGGTTTCACAAAGTATTGCTGTGAATCAACTCTATCTTTCTGCTTGCAGTGCTGTCTGTCATTTGATAAATACTGTGCTCTTATTCTTTGTCAGGTTGCGGTGGCAACTACCACAAACGCTGTGCTTTTAAGATCCCCAATGACTGCACACTCTCCAAGAGGAGGCCCTCCTCAGTGGCTTACAGCTCAGCAAGCTTACCGTGGTCCTCTTCGGAGATGAGCCTTGCAAGTGATACCAGCGATCCCATGGTAACTGCCCGCATTCGGCAATACCCAAAGCTTGAGTCACATGTATGTTATTCTGCTTAGAAAATTGTGCCGAGGGAGTCTGTGAACATTACTGTATTTTAATACAGGAATGCAGGTATTAATTGAACATTCTCACACGGACCACTGGAAAACCATTTTCTGAGTTGCACATTTGAATGGCAAGTCGTTGCTTTTTTTTCTCAATCAACTGAAAATTCAACATGTTGTATTTGGTGTTGTCGTACGAACCAAATCAGGAACAAGGTATTTTTATTCAGTGTACTTCAGTTCAAGCTTACATTTATTTCCATACCAAAATGGGAAATGAAAGCACAGTACTCAAATGAGTGAGTAAACCAGTAGAAAGAATTGTCAAGAAGGGTATGAGGGCTGAAAATATACATAGGTATGGAGGCATCTTTTGTAAGCTTACGTGGAGGCTTGTAGTGAGATGCCTTGGATGGACAAATAAAAAACAGAAACAAGGACAGTTGGACCGAGATGGAAACTAAGCATGAAAACTTACCAATACACAAGAACAGTACATTCATACATGTATTATGATCTGTTTAAAAAACCAGAGAAGCAAAACCGTGCTCTTTAACTCAAAAGCAAACCAAAAGTTGTGCAGACAATACTGAGCAATAGATGAATATAGGAGGAAATGAAACTAGATTTCAAAACTCTTCTCATCCCCCAAACTCTCTGTTCTTTAATCTTGTTGTGTAGGATATGTACACTGTACATGAATTCCCTCACTTTGAGTTGAAAAAGGAATATGTATGTGTATTTTTGGTGCTTGAGACAACATATCCTCCATAGAACTTAACACATTTTCTGTCAAGTATAGTGATATACAGTGTACATTGTGTGCAATGAGTTCTTCCTCTTCATGTGACACGCTTAGGTTACTAGTTGACAACTAACATGTATTTTTTCCACAAACTTTAAAAACAAATAAAATACCCCTTAACTGCTGTTTATCCTTTTACATAGTAGTATTTAGATCAATTTCTAAATTTGAGTTTATGACACAAAGCCCACCTGTTCAGAGCTAGACAAATACGGAACATTAGGTCTAAAACCGCCCTGTTAATACAAATCAGTTCAGTTGAGATTCATGTTAAAAAACCTATAGATACACAGACATGATAAACACATGTATAGAGTGCAGTGTCATGATTTTTTTTTAAAGAGTAAAAGCAAGGCTTTGTTGTGTACTGATTAGACTTGTTCTCTTTTGTCAATTTTTCAGGCTAATCTTTTATCCAAAGCAGACAGCTACAAGGACAAGCGTTCACCGTCGTGTGGAGGGCGCCCTCTGTGGGTGGAGAAGGCAGTGGCAAGTCGCATCAAGGTGCCGCACACCTTTGTGGTGCACAGCTACACCAAGCCGACGATTTGCCAGTACTGTAAGAAGCTCTTGGTGGGGCTCTTCAGGCAGGGAATCCAGTGCAAAGGTAGACCAACCAGCAGTCTTTGCCAAGTTCGGTCAAGGGCCAATTTGTCAACTGCTGGTCGATTTTGCCTGGTGCCCTAGGTGTATTTCTTGCATACATATAGGTTACCTGGGAAAGTCAAACAGTGGTTGACAAATGTCCGCTTATTAGATGTGGCCTGTGAGACCTTTTTGGTTAGGTTATGGTTTGCTTTACAACTGTTTGTGACCTTTGGAGAGTACAAAAGGATGAGCCTTTTTTATAAATGGGTATCATCTGACATCAGCTGAAACAGTTAGTTGAAGATGCACTTTACACAAGATAAAAAAAATCACAGATAAAGAAGACATATCTGTTCACATTTGGTTTGAATTGTAAAAGTTATGTGGAAGGGAAGCAGGTCACAAGTTGGGAGCTCAAGAGAGACGTATTCTGTCTCGTGAATTTTTAAAAACCTGTGCCCTTTATGTATTCTTATGCTGAAGATAAAATGGTCTAGCTGCATTACAACATCATAGCTTAAGGATTAAGATGACACATATAGAAAAAAAACATTTGTGGGTTTGAATCTCACCCACATAATCGAACAAAAATTGTAGCTGTATGCCTTTGACAAATAAAGCAAATTCATTGCCAAAAATGACTTGTTAAACAGCATCATCCTCTTACAACAAAGATATTCATTAAAATAAATATCTTTGTTGTTTGGTGCAGAATCTGGAGAAATAAAAACTTTTTTATCAACTTCCCTGAATTTGGCTGTTTATGTACCTTTTTGGACACCTTTTAGACTGCAAATTCAACTGTCACAAACGCTGTGCTGAGAAAGTACCAAAGGATTGTCTGGGAGAAGCGCCTCTACACGAACGTGAGTATACTGCTGTGATAAAATAAATAAGAATACACAAAAGTGTTCAGTGTTTGAATGTTTGTTGTGTCTAGAGCAATTTATAACCAGTCCAAATAACACAGTAGTTTATGCCTTGAGCCAGAGTCATGTTTAAACTTGTCTCATCAAGTCCCTCACAAGTCCTTCATTAGCAAGTCAAGTCAGAAGCTGTTCAAAAGACCTGTGAAGCAGAGACATTTCTTTGCTATTGTTTACCCTGCTATTTGCAACTTGTCTTTTGAAAGGATTTACAGGGATGAGATTCTTCCGCTTTTTGGCAGATTTCCGCTTTTGTAACTTTGAAAATCCACTTTTGCATATAAGCTCCGCCTTTTTTGACTGCCGGATACAGCGATAGTCGACTTAGAAATTCCGATATTTTAAACTTGTCGGACCATTTCATCAAGATAATTTTCGACTTTCAGGTATCAGATATGATAATATTGAGCCTCAGTTTGTTGTGAAATAAAATGAATTGCATTTCTGGTTGCTTACTTTCCATGTGTCACGTCATTTTCAATTCACCCTGAGAATATCAAAAACATGTCGACCACGAAGGGCACTGTGTCGTACCATGCATGCCGTACCTTCATGTGTAGTTTAGGTGCACACTATCAACGTACACACAGATCGGAACCGGTACCAGGCTAGAATAGGGAGATAAGATAAAGTGACACATTCCATTTGTTTTTTTCGCTGACAAAAACTAGTGCCGACCAATAACCATCTCTGTAGGAAATGTGTTCATTTCCAGGTAACTGTTGGTGTCACAACCGCTCTGATAGGCTTATTTCATGACGTATCCCCATATAAGCCTATGACTGTGCACTTTTCATGCTACTCACCACATGCACGAGTGTATAGACCGCCACACAAAGCCACTGCGCCTGCTACCCTGAATACTTTTTGTGTGTTATCACAGAAAACCGTACCGTCGTGTGTGTTGTTGAACGGACGTTTTTTATTCTTACATTTCCATCATCATGTCTGCCCATAAAGACGTCATTCATCAAGAAAAAAGAAAGGTGAAGCACATTGACAAAGGGTTTAAAATTCCTGGCGATAGGAATAGGTTGAGGCCAAAATTAAAGGAGTGTTCTTGTCCAAATTTATTTGGAAATCGGAAAAACCTGGTAAGGCATTGGTGCGATGCAACTTTAGAAATTAATTATGCTTCGTTGAAATACAACAGAAAACTCAAGACACAGAAAACGACTTATCATCGATGTATTCATGTACGCAATCGACATGTATTTTGAAGCACGACAAACCATAGTGATGAACAAAACTATGTGGTGGGTCTTAACCCCTTGACGATGGAAATTTCTTCCCGAAAGCTGACTCCAAGCATTCCAGCCTCGCTCACAAAGGCCACCTGCCAAACTGCAAATTCTTGGCAGTGATGTAGTCGAGTACTTTTTGAGAACCAAGTTCTCTACCAAATATTTAACTAGTTAGGAGGGAACAAAGCTGAAGTACATCGGCATTTGATGGTACATGCACAAAGGTAAGATTAAAAAGCAACATAATGACTTCAGATCTTCATTGTTTGATTAAAATTAACTTTTTAGGACAAAATTACTTAGAAAG